AATGGAGCTACAGCTCTTCCGAGATTATCTAGTGCACGCTGAGCATGTTCCGTGCATTCGAACAAGCAGACAACGTCGTCCGCGTAATCTAGGTCACACAGCATTCCACGATTTCCTAGTTCGACGCATACACCCTGAATATTTTGCAGCGCACTCTCCATTATTTCGTCCATGACGAAGTTGAACAGGAATGGAGACATGGGACATCCCTGTCAAACACCACTGGTCGTTTCGAACCGACCGGATAGTTCACCGTAAACTCTAACGCGGCCAGAAGTATGAGAATACAATGATCTCATTAGGTTCACGAACTTCTGGGGCATACCTTTTCGATGAAGAGCACTGAAAAGCGCTGCTCGATCAACTGAATTGAAAGCGCCTTTCAAGTCTGAGAAAACCATTATTGTCGGTCGGCGGCGCGTGTGACGCGCTTCAAGTAGTCGGCGAAGAGTATTTAATCAGACTTTTGCGTAGACAGAAGTCCGCATTTCAGTCAAAAAAGATTTACATTTGGCACTTCATCGAATCAATGAGATGAAAGAACACAATTGCACATCAAAATTGCAAAGAAATTCTGTCGATACTCGTGCCCGGTTTGTGAGCATCCGGACCAGATATGGAACGGTAGAGTTCTTGTAGATGTTAACACGACAGAGTATGAATCGAAAGGAAGAAAGTGTAGAAGCAGGCGAGTTAAATTTGGACAGCTCATTGTGTAAAGGGTGAGCGCTGTCTGCAAGGATTTTGTGATCGAACTTTTCACATGTGGCCAGTAGACCAGCAAAAAAACAGGGGAATAGTGAAGTAGAACAGTAAAAACACACTGACAAACAAGAAAGGGAAATAACGCTGTTCAAATTTAAAACGCCTAAGCTTTCGGATTTGGTAAGATAACCGACGTAGTTTCCTCACACAGTTTGAAATGTGAGATGACCACCTCAAATTCGCATCGATAGTGATTTCTAAGTGTTTGACTGAACCCACTCTAGCTAGTGGTTCTGTGGAAATGACAGATGGGTCACAAGGATAAGCCGATCGAGAAAGGGTAAACATGCATTTAGACAAATTCAAAGTTAAACCGGATCGAACGAAAAAAACATAAATATGGGGCAGATTACCGGGAAAGCCATTGAAGGTTACAGGAGCAGCTTGACAAAGGGCCACATCTACAGCATATTTAAATAAATGTGCAGGAGAACAGAATGAAAGATCCCTAATGCAGGTGGAAAATAAAGAGGAGAAAGCACAGCTCCCTGAAGCACTCCTGAATCGTATACCAAGGGTTTGGATGTTTTGAAACCTGTTTGTGTGCACTAAGTTCTGTTGGTAAAATAATCAAACAACCATGTTAATAAAGGTGTGGGACAGCCGAAAGCTTCCAGTTTATGGAGGAGAGATCACGGAGTGAAATCAAAAGCGGATGAGTGATCTAGAAAAGCGCGTCTCACAGACTTTGTTGCTCCATCCAAGGATTTGGTTACATAATGGACTAAGGAAGCGACAGCAGTCACAGTGAACCTGTTCGATTTAAAGGCAAACTAACGGGTCACCGGGACAATTTATAAAATGTAAACGTTTAAGAACGGCATGCTCTGTAAGTTTAAGACCAGATGAATTTAGAACAATGCGACGAAAGCACTTAGTTGTGACACCAGAATAACATGGTTTGGGTATAAGTATTGACCGGCACAATGATAATGGCCCAAAAACAAAAACGACCACATTATATATATATATATATATATATATATATATATATATATATATATATATATATATATATATATATAGTTCACTAGGATCTAGTTTGAATCGTCTGGAGTGTGAATGGATACTCTTCATTGAAGAGCCCACAAATGAATCACAACTGTGATTTCTTATATATATATATATATATCCCCGGAAGCACACGACCGGTTTCGCGGTCGTTGCGGCTCATCAGGTAAGCGTACCCGGTACTCCTCTGCCAACTCGTCTTCATACTTGTACACCCGATGTTATATGTCCACGAGAATCTAATTTGAATCGTCTGGAGTGTGAATGGATACTCTTCATTGAAGAGCCCACTGTGATTTCTCATAGTTATTCGTGTCTGGGTCACTGCTAACCCAACGAATAACGAGGCTGCATGTGCAAGCGCTCATATTGATAGTAAGCAGTGTGTTAACGTGTGGACAAAAAGTCCCCGGAAGCACACGACCGGTTTCGCGATTGTTGCCGCTCACATATATGTATATATGCATGCGGTAAAAAATCTAAGGACAGACAAAATGAATAACTGACGAAAAGAAGTCTATCATAGATTTGACCTGGCTAGGTCACCTGGGTGAAATTAATTCAAAACAACGATAAATGAAACCAGTTCACCAATTAGTGGAGGCACACTCACTCGGCTTCTGCGATCATAAACTTCCAGGAGATCAACCAGAAAAGACCGTGCAGTGCCATTCGCGCGTATCTTCACTGGGCCTAAGTACTGTGGTGGGATTCAAACTGCTTTGTACAAGTGCTCTTGTCCGTTGCTTGTTCTCGTACATATCGATGTTTAGTAACTCTTGTGTATTCACTTTCCAGCTATGGCTTTGATACAAGTTGAATAAAGTCCAACTCCGGGTTTTCTATTTATCAATACTTCTGCTAACAATCGTGTTTGTTGATTGTTACAAATACAAAGTACGCACGCTGGCTTAAGCCGAAGAAGTGTGTAGTAAGTTGAGCTCATGGTTGCCGCGTGCGGGGAACGTATAGTCAAACAAGCGATGACGGCGGGGGGGGGGTGATCCGATGGTCCCCATACAGAGAAGCAGTAGAAATTGCGTGTTTAGAAACCAGCAAAGAGGGAGAATTAAAATACAAAGCTATCAGAACTGACCGGCATTCGTATGGTCCAAATGCCTTAGTCTGGTCGCTGGTGGGTATCTCAGGTTTTGAGATGACTACTTGCCCTGAACGCCTCTCAAATGACCACGCACCTCAAGCAGCCTATGCCGAGGAAGCCCTACACACTGCCTTCTCGTGGATGAGGTATTTTCACCAAAGTGTGGGGAGCCGAGATTCAGAGGCCGACGAGGCTTGAGAAAATGTGAGTTACCAGACAGAGGATTATTCCCGACACTATTTGACAGTGAATCGTTGCGAGTATTGGTTGTGTTATCAGTGGGAGCATTATGGGTGGATAGATGGGGCAAAGAGGGATGGTTAGGGACAGAAGACAAAGGTTGAATAAAAGAGAGGGAACTCTGAGCAGTAGCACACTTATCACTACCCACCCCGCTCGATGCAATGGGCAGCGCGGTCCTGATTATCCTGCGCGACGACCGATGCAGTATGGAATTCTTCGTCGTGATGGCAAGCTATCAGAACTGACCGGCATTCGTATGGTCCAAATGCCTTAGTCTGGTCGCTGGTGGGTATCTCAGGTTTTGAGATGACTACTTGCCCTGAACGCCTCTCAAATGACCACGCACCTCAAGCAGTCTATGCCGAGGAAGCCCTACACACTGCCTTCTCGTGGATGAGGTATTTTCACCAAAGTGTGGGGGCGAAGCCCGACGTTCTCCACCGGGTTGGCTGGCTGGTAATTAGTCTAGGGGAGATGACTGAACCCTGGTTCCAAACCAACCAGACGGCGTATGAAGCATACGGTACTATGCTCACCGGAGTCTTTGGCGGAGGGTGTACTGAGCATCCGGGATGTCTGGCCTCATCCGAAGGGCGTACGAACTAAGCACTCAGTCACTGCGCTTCGTCCCGCTGCCTTGCGGGTTAGGCTTAGGGTAGCTAAAGGCTCTAGATGTGGACCCCCAAGAAAACCACCTGCTTTGGTCTGCGCAAATTGATGGTGCTGCGTCCACAAGCAAAACAAATCATGGAATCTCACTTCATAGTACCTCTTCTTCCCCTTTGTACTATGTTTTGTCTGGCACACAGTCTAAAATCCGGCGAGTGTGCAAAAATGACCCAACTTTTCATGCTTGGGCTTCTGTGTGTTGTACAGAGTTCCGTCTCATACATGGAAAGCGATTGGAACTTCAAGAGGTTTAGTCATGTGTATCACCGACAGGACATCCGAATTCCGTTGTTGTTGCGGCAGTTGGATTCTTCCTACTATGTGGCTACATAACCTAGTCGTCGAAAATACGTGTGATGACTATCGACGTTTCAGCAGAAATTTCGGCGTTTGATAGGACAATCGGATGAATATTGCTAAAAATAGTTAACTTCTTTCCACTTTGTCTGCTGTATTTCTCACCCATATTGGTTCCTTCATGTTCCTGAAGCTAACCCACACGGCTGAAGGAAATTCTTCCAATGGTTCCGCGCAAGAAATTTTTTCACACCATCCGAACCTCTTAAAATAAGGCGCGCAATCGAACGATCGACATAAATATTACACTGACGTTTGGGGTGTGGATTACCCTTTCTCTTTTTCGTCCCTCGATTTTCTAAACTCGTAATTATTTATATTCGTGCTTAATTTTTGCGTTCTTTTTGGTGCCGGATGGGGCTTGCACCAATGAACGAATGGGCAAGATTGATTCCAGCCGAAGCAGAACGAGCCTGGTGCATTGCAAAACAAAACAACTATGTGGTAAAAAACCTTACTGTATCAAAGTTAAATGATGAACTCCAGGTCTGAAATTTTATACAGGAAGGAGTGTCTCGGTGACTCTCAGGAGACTGTCGAGTAGTTTGGAAACATGCAAACTATCAATTGAGATGCAGCACTGTACTATAGATTGGTCAACGCCATCATCATGTAATCATGAAAAATTATTCCGAAATGGCGGTAGTAAGAACGCAGAATTTCAGCACCTCAGATCTAGAAGGAGTGCTTCTTTAGTTACCAAACTAGATCGGTGTAAAATTTTGCGACCGAACATACGGTTTAAACCCCATGATTGAAATTTTTTAGATGCGTCACAGAACAGTCACGACAGTATCTCTCGTCCAAAAATGTAGAACAACTCTACACAATGAATCATCAGAACGAATCTTACCTGAGAAACACACACCATTCTTTTGCATAGGCAGCAATCTGCACCAAGAATTATTCCACCCAAATTATTATCCGCAAACGGATCACGCATAATGTATGCATCCTCGAGAATTCTAACAAATAACAGGAAGAATCTGACGATACTCACTGGACTTCCTTGCTCAAATACTTTGATCCGCGACCTTTAGTGTCGTACGGGATGCGAAAATCACAGATAGAGCAACAGAAGAACTGTGTATTTACAGAGGACATCCGAGAGACAAAGCATCTACTCTGTGATTCGCTGACTTCAACTCGGTTTTTGCGCGAGGAGAGGGGTGAAAACCACTCTGGCTCACAGATCTGCTGTTGGCAACCTTTCGTGGCTGCTACCACATCACTTTTTAATCTACCTAAAAGGCGAAATTAAGGGATAGTATCATATTCGGGAAATATGAATATCTACAAGACGAGTCACCATCATCATCGTCGTACAGCGTGAAAGAGCAGGGTGATCCCCCCTGGCAACTGCTTTTCTCGCCATGTTGCAAGTAGAAGTAGGAAGAATATATACAAGATCATTAGGGAATGGACCTCCAGGGGTCAGAAAAGGAAAGAACGCCCTAGCAGCCAACACATGGGATACGCAATCTAACTGTACAAACGCACATTGATCAGTCAGCTTGATTTGACAGAAAGTGACAACACGATACCAGCCATATCCTTCAGTGCCTCCAGCAAACTGGTTGAGGGGTTTTTGGACCCAAACCACGAGGATATGAGGCAGTACCTTTTCCAAAGTTCCCTGTACATTTTTTCATTCTTCATTGCCCCATCATTCATCGATCTCCATGTGGCTTCCTCCATTCCCGAGGAGGAACCGAAAACAAGACACGGTGTGGTAGACGTGTGTTCGCCATATGTAACACGTGCCCCAATCAACGAAGTCTACCAATCTGGATACGCCGTGATAGAACCTTCTTTGATCTAGTGGTCAATACTCGACTTCTGGCCTCAACCTTGCTAACTGGGTCATTTCATCCTATCTTAGCGATACTACGCAAACGTCCATGGTGGAAAACCTCAAGACAACGAATATCTTCCACATGTAGACACCAAGTCTCGCAACTTTACAACGAAACTAGACTCACTGTGGCAGAGTACAAACGACCTTTCAACTCCAGTGAAATATCAGGTCAGCGCCATAGGTGCTTCAGTCCAGCGTGTGCCCCTCGATCACAACGAGACTGTACCTTGGCGCGGTGTGATAGCTTGCGTGCCTCCATGACCCAAAGGGCTATGTAAGATAGCTTCCTTAAGCCGCAGATGCAATCGTGCCTGAGAGGTCAGTGGGTAGAGGCCAGACGAAGTCCAGTCTCTGAACCAGTTGATGGGCAAAATCTGGTTCTAACCACTATGGCCCTGAATAGGACACTCCAGCGAATAAACACGGAGAGAAACAGTTTGCCGGTCAAAAATCCTCCAATAAATGGACATAGGAGTGGAGTATATGGGATTTTTCTCGACGGTGAAAGAAGTGATCGCAGTCCATGAAGCAGCTGTCGCCCTTGCTGTCCGTAGAGCGAATGCTGCAGAGCAGTCGAGACAAATCTTGGAAGAGTTCGTCCAATCTCCGGAGAGCTACAGCCAGTTGAGGCACACACAGAAACGACAAACAGGCATCGACGCTTCAGTCTAGTGCTGTTGGCATGCACAGAACCATTCGACCGAACTGCACACAGACGACTGCTCACTGGGATCCAGTCGAACCGCGCATGCCCAGCTTTCTTGTTCAGAGCAGTGCCAACGCGAGCATTAGACACCGAATCACCCGACACGCGAGGAGTGAAATGAGAAACCAACTTTGCAGCTGAGGAGCGAAGTGTAAACACTGAAGCTGGGTCTTGTATGCGTGTTTCAAAGACACAACACACATGTGTTAAAAGTATCAAGAGGGCAGCTTTTCGCCCCGTTTGGTAAAGTGTGTGGACGTTGAAAACAGCGAAGTGAAGACAATACTTGGGTCGGAGAATAGATTCTCCGAGTTGCTACCCTTACCAAGAGTCAGAAGTTCACGGTCATAACTTGCTGTGGCCTCTCGTTCGGAACTGGAATGTAAAAGATGAAGAGCAGAGATGAATAATGTTTGTCGACGGACCGCTGGAGGCTTTTGGGCGTATACTTCGCGGCTGCCCACACCGCAGGAGGGGTTTTTCTTTGGGAACCCTAACCGGAGCCTTTGACTCAAAAGTCTGATCCACAAAGCGGTAAGGCGTCTACTCATCACGGGAACAATACTAAAGCACCCGGGAATGAACTTCTGGTCTGTCACGTGAGACCCGATTGCTGCACGCATTTTGTCTTGTCTTCGCTGGTGCTTCGTTATCGATCCGCTTTTCATATTCAGTCTTCAGCCCCATGCAGACAATGGAACAAGCGGAACGTGGATGGGACAACATCCTTTGGGCCGAAGTCCGCCCAGCTTAGTCCGGCGATAGCTGCCCAATGAATTGCGATCACTTCTCCCACCGTCGAGAAAAATCCCATATACTCCACTCCTATGTCCATTTATTGGAGGATTTTTGACCGGCAAACTGTTTCCCTCCGTGTTTATTCGCTGGAGTGTCCTATTCAGGGCCATAGTGGTTAGAACCAGATTTTGCCCATCAACTGGTTCAGAGACTGGACTTCGTCTGGCCTCTACCCACTGACCTCTCAGGCACGATTGCATCTGCGGCTTAAGGAAGCTATCTTACATAGCCCTTTGGGTCATGGAGGCACGCAAGCTACCACACCGCGCCAAAGTGCAATCTCGTCGTGGTGGGAACACGACAACCAGAACATTTTTTCTCAAGAACCGTGAGAAAGTCAGGGCGCTCGGGAGCGAGAATGATTAACGTGTATATGCAAGATCGTGAAAAAACAGCAGTAAGTGGCCAGCGCCTTTGGCATTCAATGTGCAGTTAAACATGTTTAACGAGTAAATGAAGTTGAGTCATGCTAGTCTAAAAGTGGATCTAGACCTTGTCAATCGCACTGTTCTCTAGAATTGTCTTTTGTTGAAGGGTGCCAAAAAAATCAATTGCATTACTGATTTCCTTTGCTTGAATAGTCGCACTGAAGTTCGTGCTACGGGTACCCTTACATCTAATCCCACTACAGAAACTGGTGCACATTAGAGTCACTTTCTTTCCTATTTTATTATTGAGAATGCCTCAGAAAACCACCCTTTGTCATTTGAAGGTAGTTATATGGAAAATTTCTCAGATAAGAGTGTCGCTGATGGCAGCGTTTCTCCCTGACGATCCAGTTGTGTTGAAAGCTTTTCTGATCAACGTGGTAGACGGCAATCGGCTGTCGTCCGGCCTGTTACCATACCTGGGACTTTATGCGGCTTTCCGCTCCAGGTCTTAGGGTCGGGTTTAGGGTCTTTTCGGCTGTGAAGTATACCCTATGATTTGTATTTATGGGTGAGCATGCAGTAAAAATATATACGTAGCGGTGTTCCAGTCACGTTTCACACCTTTTTAATGCAAAATGCTGTTGCGGGACTGAGTTTATTCTACACTAAGTCTTATGGTATCTGGAGAGACAATTAACCAGTCAGCATTGCATATATGTGTGTAGCGTTGCACAACTAATGGTTATTCGATCTCAACTGAACTGAATTGTTTCGCATAAAAATACGTGGTGTGAGGGTTTATAGACTTAGCTATAAAAGAAATGCGACCGGAGCTTAGGACAAGTTTTTCTGCCAAGCAGGCAAACTGCCGGAAGCGGTTGCGCCAAAGCGAATGTCTTGAAAATACCTCGACGCAATGTTTTCATGACTCCGTGAGGAGTGAAACTAAAAGCCATACTCGTTTTGCCCAGGGTTCCCTCCTTTTCTCAACCTTTGTCTTCTGCCCCCAACCACCTCTCTTTGCCCCCTCTACCTGCTCATAATGCTGTCACTGATAACACGCCCGATACTCGCAACGGTTCACTGTCAGATTGAGTCATGAATAACCCTGTCTTGTAACTCACATTTTCTCAAGCCTCGGAAGTCTCTGAATCTCTGCTCTTTTTACGTGCGTACACATATGCAGACCGATCCGCAGGCGTACCTAGCGCTTACAATACAACCCTGGAGATTGATGTCTGCTGCGCATTCAGGACTCGAGCAGTCTGATTTAACTAACCGCTCCTGTTATCTTATCGAGGTATTTTCTGCGCACTTCAAGAGACGAAGAAGCTAGAGGTGCGAGTCAACGTGGTATAGGAATACTCTTGACTGACACGGTTGATACTGCCCTTTTAGGCTGGATCCCGATTAATAGTCGTTTATGCGCTGTAAGACTCCAGGGCTCATTTGGTGTTCGAAAAGATAGTTGTGGCAAGCGCAATTTGTTTATGATCTCGGCACGCGCTCCAAGAGACTGCAGTTCTGACATGCAGAAGGATGACTTCTATGATGAACTCACCACTCGTTCGTAGGAACAAGTTCTGACACTGTAGTGGTAGCAGGTGATTTTATTGCACAAGTTGGAAAACTTAGTGCATCAGAAGCTAGTTCAGGTTGGCGTTGCGCCTTACCCGCTGAGTGCACAGGTAACGGGAATAGGCTTACCTAGTTTTGTGCAGACAATCGGTTATTCTTGCCTAGTACAAAATTCCCGAAACAGCTCGCGTCTCATGGCAACATAGCACCCTAACTATACAGGTACTCTGAGTCAGATAGATCATATCGCAATAAGCTACTAATGGTGCAGTTCTGTCCATAAATGTATATCATACTGGCCCACGTACGTAGAGCCGCGCCATGCACCAGTTTTAATGCGAATATCGCTTCAGCTCTATGGTCATCGATGCAAATGGCAAACCCGGTTACCCGTACAACGTTAGTTTGATCCAGAAGTTCGTGCCAGTTAGGAACAGAAATTGTCCCGAGCTGGGAAGTACGGCCAACATTTATGTAGATGAGTAATGGGCCATATCAAACAGACGATGCATGTGGGAGCAGGTTTCGCCTGCAGTCCTAGAACCGATGCCCATCAAAGACACTGGATTTCTCAAGAGCCGATCAGTCTAAGGGAGCAAACACGCCAGCTGTCGAACTGTAATGAGACGAATAAGATACGAAGACACCTACAAAGGCAAGTTACAAAAAGCCTTAAGGATTGTGAAAATTGGTAGGTTCAGATAGCCGAAGAAAAGGAAGTAGCAGCTTTTTCAGGTGACAGTCAATGATTGTTCAAACTTATTCGTGACACCAGTGGACGGCGAACCCCAGTCAGTGAAACGGTATGCCATAGAAACGGAGGGCCTATTCATGGCAAATCACAAAGGCTTGACGGCTGGGCCGAATACCCCATAAAAAGAGCAATTTAGCTGGCCGTGAGCTAAAGTAGTAACTGCGATTCCTTAGGGAGTACCACTTCAGCCCCCATCGGAAATGGAAGTGGAGTCAAACATTCGACTAATAAAGCGTGGAAAAACGATCGATCTCGACGGACTAGCTCCAGTTCTTTTCAAAATGGGTGGTGGTGCGTTGATAAAACCAATTACCGCCTTGATCCGTGACATTTGGAACGAGGATCGTATTCCATTATTATGGGGCGAGTCATTGATTGAGTGCATCTTTAGGAACGGAATAGGCAATGACTGCATTAACCATCGTAGGACTGGCTTAATTCCGGTTGTCCCCAAAGTATTAGCCTCAATTCTGCTGCGCCGCCTTACACCGGTTTGCGAGGAAAACGCCCGCAAACAACAGGCCGGATTCTGCCCAGATCGACGATGTATCGACCAGATTTTTACTCTCCCTCAATCACTTAAGAAGCGTCACACACACACACACACACACACACACACACACACACCGCCGACCGACCATAATAGCTTTCCTCGACTTGAAAAGCGGCTTCGATTCAGTTGACCGAACAGCGCTATTTAGTGGTCTTCACCGGAAAGATATATCACAGAAGTTCGTAAATCTACTGAAATCATCGTACTCCCATACTTCTAAACGCATAAGGGTTTATGGTGAACTATCCAGTTTATTCGAACCACCAACGCTGTTCGACAAGGATTGCTCATTTCTCTACTCCTGTTCAACTTCGTCATGGACGAAATAATGGAGAGTGCCTTCCGAAATCTTCAAGATGTGGGCGTCGAACTAGGGAACATTGACAAGCTGTGTGACCTAGACTACGCGAACGACCTTGTGCGCTTGTTCGAATGCGCGGAACATGCTCAGCGTGCACCAGACAGTCACCAGAGCTGAAGCTCCATTCGGCATGCGTTTTGCATCTTCAAAGTGTAAAGTGATGTTGCAAGACTGGACGTCAATGGTTCTCAACCTGATGCTCGATGGGGAGGTGCTGGCAGTTGTCGACCACTCCACTTACCTTGGCAGCAGCGTGACGACGGATGTGAGCATGGTAGTAGAGGTGAGCACGTGTATATCCAAGGCTCGAGTAGCGTACGCTGGACTGAAGCACTTGTGGCGTCGATCTGATGTTTCACTGAAGTTGAAAGGTCGTGTATACTGTGCTGCAGTGCGTTCAGTTTTGTTGTATGGTTGCGAAACTTGGAGTCTGCGTGCTGAAGATATTCGTTGTCTTGAGGTTTTCCACCATAGACGTTTACGTAGTATCGCTAAGATCGGGTGGATTAGCCGAGTAGGCAATGCTGAGGTCAGAAGTCGAGTATTGGTCACTAGATCAAAGAAGGTTCTATCACGGCGTATCCAGATTAGTAGACTTCGTTGATTGGGGCACGTGTTACATATGGCGAACACACGTCTACCATACCGGGCGCTGTTCCAGTGTTTTGTGTGTGAGCTTTTTTCTGACCCACTGACTTCTTTAAAGATGTTTTTTCACAAATTCGTTCTTTGCAGTAACCGACGCGCCTTAGGTAAACCCACTTTAGCACCCGATACTTCCCGCACAGATAGGAAATCTTAGCCGATAGTTTCTGCACCTTTCGTGGAGCCATAGATTGCCAACCTGAACTTAAAGATTACAGTCTTCTCTGCCGAAAAGGAACTTTGACGGTGGGTTCCATGCAGCACACAAGCCGTCTGCAACGTTGGTTTTCAAACGGTTCCCGACTGATTTGCTTATAAGTCGTATCTCCACAAGTCAGAATTGAATTCATACCAGGGAAATAGACGAACGAAATACTGCACATATTTTAGCGAACGTCCTGTTTCGATAAATTCTCTGATACCGATAGCCTAATTCTGTAGGAAGATGTGGATGCACTAATGCGCTGGTCCACTAGATGGATGCTAACTCTAAATCTTGCGAAGTGTTTACATGTGTATCGGTCTTTCTCAGATACCAAAGAGTTACAACCTGTCTGGAACCCTACTACGAACAACTGATTGAGTGCGATCTATGGTATTTGGTGCCTTCCTCGCTGAAAACCAAAGGTCACACAAACAGTGTGTGCTTCGGCTTGGAGTGCCCTCGGCTCGACTCGCCGATCACTGGCGAAATTACCGTACGATGTCTTCCGCGTACTGTATACTTCCCGTGTGCGTCTTCGACTTGCATATAGTGAAGCGGCAGCATATCCCTGTACAGCTGCTGAATTCATCAAGTTGGAGAGAATGTAGTTTCGCTACTCGCCTCATTTTTGACTACGTGGAGTCAGCTAGGAAAGACATTTTGAAACGACTGGCTTTTTCCAGAAGCCTATCGGCAGATGTATGACGATCTTATATACACCCATCGTATCATACGGCGTGACACGGGACATGAACTGGAAGCGGACTTCCCGATCCGTGGGCCATGTCGTGTCAATGAGTAGTGAAGATGCATACTACTGGCTTGCCGTTAGTCTATGGCATATTTCGTAGGGCTACAAACATTTGAAAGTCCTTATCTTCTAATGTGGTGGAAGAGGTGAACAATAAAACATTCAAGAGGAAACTTGGCCAATCACTGTTGGGGCTATGGCGTTCTGCTCCATTTCGAACGGTTTGTGACGAGGCTTATACTAGAGGATTCCAGCTGCCTCAATTACGAAGGATGACGGATAAATGAACGAAATGTTATTGCAGGTCATTCTATTCAATACACTGTAAAATGGGTAAAAGAAGGATAACTATTATTGTTTCATTGTTTAGTAGGCAAAAAAGAGTAAGGAGGAACTTACCTTGGGTATGTGACAGGAATAAATGGAGTATATCCCGTATTTCACACAATCGGTTTAAACCGCTCCGAGACCACTCCAAAACCGATCAGTGATGTAATGCAAACCAGTCGAAAACCTTCGCTATCCAATAGCCTTTTCAGGTTAGATCAAACCACAAAATATGGAGGCTTAAGCCAAATTTGTATTGTTTCCTGAACACGAAGCTCCAGAGATCCTCACGTGCTGCAACAGAGAAACGAAATACAGCATTCGTTAAAGTGGTCACGGCGGTGCGGTAGATTTCCAATTTTCTGACCATCAATTTCCTCTTCCCCAAAACAAGAGACCCCTGAAAGTAGTACAGCCAACCTCAGACCCCACTGAGCGATGACAAACCGTAGCACAAAAAGTCTGCATCGAAGGTAAGACCACAAAACTTAAATTTTTTGGTTCTCTCTCTCTAGACTGTCGTGGTGGGGCTTGCGTGGATAATACTAAAGGTTTTCTGTCTTTCTATTGCGTTTGCGGACACGACTGAGGGATTTGGTGGACAACTACAAGGACGAAAAAAGCAACAGAGAAACAAAAAGGAGGAAAAGAAGTCCAACGGTATGGAAATTGATTAGAAGTGGCAGCGATGGTAGCTCCAGTGAAAGTGCCAACTTAAGATCTCAGATACAGGATAGTCCATCGTACTAGGACTCTACGTGCAACAAATTCCGTTTCATTCCAGAACAAGTTGAGGGCCGGCTGTGCGTTGGGTGACTTTGGGTGATGTGTTGCGGCGTGTTGTGATGCCAGGGATGTAGATCCCTGTACTCGTTGCCCAGGATCTGACCTCACTTTTTTCTGACCTTAAACTTTCTCAATGTCCTCCGGCACTTTTAAATCGTATACTTTTTGGCAGTTTAGTATCGTACCATATTTTTTCAGCTTCCGCGATCAGCCCTCGATGGATTCCTTTATCACACTAAATTCTGACCGCAATTAGCTAAGACAGGAGCCAACTCGAGCGTACAGTACATCAGCCTTTGTTTTTTGATTTTGTAAGAACCCACCACCAGGTCAAGTATCACTGTTCCAGTATGGTGAAACGTTTGGCCAACAAGAAAAGTGTTTAGCTGTCTTGTATTTCTATTCATACCAGCCTCTTCACATATGGTCATGCCTCACATGTCGCACCGATTGGGCTGTGTGCGTGGCCATAGGCGTTTTAATCTGTAGTGGTGTCATGCAAAGATTTAGAAAGCAGATTTGAAGATATGTAAACTCGATTTTGCGTGAATCGTCCATCAAACTGGGCTTTAATTTAATTTTGTAGGGCAGCGAGAGAGAAGTTGGAATTCACCATCATCCACACCCGGGCGTCACCGCAAGGCCTAGCTCCCTGATTTATTGGTGAAACCTCTTTCTGTAGTTTTAAGTGTCCGGTTACTCAGGGGGTCTGCCATTCAACACTAGGTCCTTAAACAAGCTGTTCTCATGAGTATCTAACTTTTTTAAATCAACGACCGTCCGGGTCTTCGCCACCGAGGATGAAAGTTTATTTCTTCGGTTTACTACTCGTTGGGCGAAGAAACTTGCCCCAACTACCGTACTACAACGGCACTTCACAAGTTTCCGTTTGTGTCCTCTGGGACCTTCATGTTTTTTGGAGCAACTGAGGTCCCCCTGTCAGTCCGAGAAGCCTACGATAATCCTAAACGTTGCAGTGAGATCTTCCTTTACTTCCTTTCGCTCCAGAAATAACAGCTTTAGTTCTCTAGGCCTCTTTTTATAAGGCCGGCCTCGGTATTCAGTAGAAATTCGTGTGAATACCCTTTGCCTATGTTCAAGTGGTTTCCTGTCCCTAATAAGATTGGGATGCCAAGCTTGAATGGCATACTCCAGAAGCAGCCTTTCGTGGATTGTGTAGAACAGCAACAGTACCCATGGCTTGCGCGAGGCAACGGTTCTCATTATTACTCCTCTTTTTTGCTTCCAGTATTGCCTCCATGCATTGCCGCAGTCATAAATATCCCCTGATCTTTGACAGTATTTGTCCTTACCAATCCTGCCATAGTTTCCATCCCTCAGGCTGACCTGAGGGGTTCACCAGAATTGACGGGCCTCGTAACCGTAGTTTTCAAGTGTCCCGGATTTAGTCGTCAGGTTGACTGCTCAATGTTGGACAGGAGTCCTCCGAAGTTGGTATAAATGATTGATTTCTAGTGTCGATGTTAATACGGTCCAGCATCCCGGTTTGGCCGAGACTTCTGTTGTTGTATAAATTTTCGTACGCTTGCTCGTTTCGTTTTACATAGCATTTCATGAACAGTTCTCCTTTCACGTTTCAGCCGATGTACTCCAATTATCAGACGAGTAAAACGTTCTCATTTTGACTCCGTCTTCTTAGTCATACTGATTTTGCCGATTCCGTTGCTAGTCTACGTTTCAATTTACTCGTCTAGTAAATCACGGATCACTACCTTCATCCCGACAAATTCGATACAGATCTGAACTCTCCGGGCGGTTTCAAGCAGTGAATTTACTGGTTTCGAACGATCAACGTCTTTTAAAAAGCGTACAATCAGATGACTCCGATAATCTGGACATGTTCATTGACTTCCTTTCACCTTCTGTCTATGAGCCGTATCTGATTGTGAAACTTTCCAAAGTGCTATTTCACTCCTTCAGTCTTTGTATGCGCGCCCCAAAAGTATGGTCTTTGCCCGATACCTTCTCGTTACTTGTAAACAGGATAGTGCGCAAAATATAGACCAATTCGTGCAGAACATCAAGATATTAGCAAAGGATTGCGATTTTCGTCCGGTGACCGCTGAATAGTATCTTGATGACGCTATGCGCGATGCCCTGATAACTTGATTGCAGTCAAATAACATAAGAACGAGGCTTAGAAGCTGCTCAGAAACAGTCACAGTCCTACGGAGCTGATAGCATTTCATGTGCTGCGGCGCTCACCATGGCTCCACATGTAACCTTTCTACTAACCCCAAAATCTGAATCTGCACTGATTACGTCTGCCATGCCCAAAGGAACGCTATTTCTGTGGTTATTCCAAACACCCCCGTGCGAAACGCACTACTAGATAAGCTTTTTGTAAAGCTTGCGGGAAAATTGGACGTTTCAAACGTGTATGCAGGTCTAAACCAGTTGGTTTTTCAGTCTGCTCGGTTCTCAGTCCCATAATATCGTCAGTTATTACCGCTGCTGCTCCTGTCTGTCTGTCTCGAGCGACTTCCCAGATTCTTGTAAATGGAGTAGAACTGCAAGCACTGGTAGACACTGGGAGTTCCGAAAGCTATGTTTCCGAGTTAGCCATCAATACTTATTATTGGCAAGTCCATCCGTGCGATTCAAAAATCGCTATGGCCTCGACATCGTTGACCTGCGATATCAGTGGCTACTGCAATGTATCAATTCGCCATCGAGGCACTTCCTATAATAACGTAAAACTATCGGTGATGAAAAATTTGTGCGCAGATGTCCTTTTGGGGCATGACTTCCTTAGACCTCATAACAAAGTGAAAATACCATTTGGTGGCACACGTGACACGTTTCTGTTATGTGGGCTTACAGCTGCTAAAATTCAAGCACCCTCATTATTCGCCCATTTATAGCCGAATTGTAAACCAGTCGCCACGAAATCTCGCCGATACTCAATTGAAGATGAGAAATTCATCGAATCGGAGATAAAACAGCTTCCGAATGACAGCATTACTGAACCTTCGAATTCCCCATGGAGGGCTCAAGTTCTAATCACTAAAAATTCCAATCCTAAGAAAAGAATGGTTATCGATTACAGCCAGACAATCAATCGTTTCACGCAACTGGATGCCTACCCACTTCCAAGGATTGATCAAATGATAGAGAATATCTCTCGCTACGCCGTCTACAGTACCCTTGGTCTTCAAAGCGCGTACCATTAGATACCTATTGCTGGTGGTAACTCTTCCCAGTTCCGCCGGATACCATTCGGGGTTACTAGTGGTGTATTTGGCTTCAAACACACCATCGATAGCATTTTGAAAGCCGAGAACCTGAAGGATACCTTCGCTTATGTCGATAATGTCACCGTGTGTGGCATGACCATGGATGATCACAATTACAACCTTCAACGTTTTCTAAAAACCGTAGCCAAATGTGGGATAAAGTTAAATGATTCAAAAACTGTAACTGCCAAAAACGAAATAAAACTCCCTGGCTATTATGTAATTCAGGGTACTATCAAGCCCGACCCTGACCGCATGAAACCACTGCGCGAGGTCCCGTCTCCTAATGACCTGAAATCTCAACGACGGGTGGCTGGCATGTTTGCTTATTATTCTCAGTGGATACCTTCATTTTCCGATAAAACCGGGCCGCTCGTTCGGAATACAATATTTCCTCTTTCTGTACCTGCGCGAGAGGCATCTGAACGTCTCAAACTAGACTTGGAGAGCGCTATGGTCGCAACAGTGGATTATAATATTCCACTAGTCGCCGAGGCGGACGCTTCAGATACAGCGATCGGTGTCTCATTGAGCCAAAACAACCGACCGGTGGCTTTCTTCTCTCGCCCCTTGATTCCTAGTGAAAAGCATCATTCGGCTATCGAGAAGGAAGCTTGTGCGATTGTCGAAGATATCCGAAAATGGCACCATTATCTCCTGGGTAGTCATTTCAAGCTAATTACCAATCAAAGATCCGTTACCTTTATGTATGATGGAAAGCAGTCAACCAAAACCAAGAATGATAAGATCCAGAGGTGGCGGCTTGAGCTATCAGCCTACCATTATGATATAATCTACCGGCCCGCTAAAGATAATTATATAGCTCATACGCTTTCTCGCAGCACCTGTCCTTCTAATGTAAACGGAATTCAGTTGAAATACTTACGTGACTCCTTGTGTCATCCTGGAATAACTCGCATGCTTCACTTTGTGCGCAACAAAAATTTGCCTTACTCTGTGGATGAGGTCAGAAACATGATCCCCCAATGCCTGGTCTGTGCAGATATAAAACCGCAGTTTTACAAACCCGCCGAAAGTCGCCTAA